CTTCTTAATAGGTAACAAATTCTATCCAACGGGTTAATTTAAACAACTTTAAATATAATTTTTAAAGTATTTGTTATAAAAGGTAATAATTTGTTTACTTGGCAACCTATCATCAAATTCACAAAGTACTTTCATAAATTCTAATTAAATTGTTTATTTTTTAAATGTATAAAAGTTTAAAATGAGGAAACAAATCTAACATGGCAGTTGTGTTAACCATTACCAGATAGTGGGCCCAAATGATGGCAAAACAGTCTCAGCCCATCCATAAGAGGCTACTTTAATTCTACGATGCTTATTCCTGCACCTCCTGTTTTTCTTCCTACACCTCCATAAACTTATACTTTCCAAACTACCCCTTACTAAAAATGTAACAGAAATTTCTAGACTTCTTTATTTTTAATATTTTCGTGATAGGATGTTTTGGAAAGTATTTCTGAATTTAAAAAATTCCTTATTAAACGTTTATTCTAAAATATAAGAAAAGAAATTCCTGAAATGAATATTCTAGAAAGTATTTTAGATTCAAAAATATTTTGCAATATTTGTTTTATTATTTTTTCATATTCCGAAATACATATTCTGTAAAACCCCAGAAAATGATAATTTTAAAAGTGATGATAGTTTAAAAATAGTGAGACTCGATTATTTTAATATTAAACGATTTTATTATAAATAGTTTTGTTATAAACGAATTTTATTATTTTAAAACGTAGTCTCTATTACCACTTTTCTAGAGTTTTCTACCTTCTTTCTAAGAGTTCAAACTATTGAGTCATCTCTTTGACGATCAGGAGGTACCTAATCGACCACAGCAAGTAAGTTTTGACTCATTTTTCCCCTTTCGTTCCTAAATTTGTTTTAGAGGAATATTGTATTGTTGCATGTGTAATCATGCATCTCCTACACGTTCTTGATTCATCTAGAGTTCTAAGGACTCTGTCCGTTTCGTATGTTCATCTAGGTATTCCTTGTGGTTCAAGTAATCGGTGGAGCGTTTTGAGAACTTTGGCAATTGGTTTAAAGGTAAGGGAAGCTAGATAATTGCTTTTAATTAAAGTATGTGGTGTGAGTTTGATGGTATATGAGGGTTAAACTGTTTGGCTGGAAAATGTTGTTTTGTGTTAGTAATAATTTAAGTAATTGGGTGAAATCCATGCTTTGTATGCTGCATGTTGTAAACATGTGGAATCTGTTGTGTGTATGTTTATGATGTTGAAATTGACGTTGATGTAGTGAATTGTGCTAATTGAACTGTTAAAGGAAAAGAGTAATCTTGGTTGTTGGTTCTAAAATATGGTCTAAGGTAGTGAAATGGTGAGAAATGGTTGATGAGCTGATTGGATGAAGTTGGGGTTGGTTAGGAACTGGTTTCAACACTTTAAAATGGTAGAAATTTGAATTAGGAGCGTGTGGTTGTGAATGTGTAGAATTCTACTTGGTTTAAAACTCAATTTGAGGAAGTGAACTAGTGAAAACTTGAATTAGGAGTTTTGTGCTCAAATGGTCAGTTGGGATAGTCTTAGTAAGTCATTTGGGACTTGTTAGAGTCTCTAAGTTGCTTGAAATTGTGCCACAACTGGTATAATTCAATTTGACTCTCTAAGTTGAGTTTTTGTGAGTTTTTGGTTGAGATCTCGTAGCCATATGTTAAAAATGAGTTTAGAAAGGTTTAGACACACTTGGTTGAGTATAATTGATGGTATAATACAATCTAGGAGCGTTAGAAGTTGTAAAAGGTGCATAAAATTGGTCAGGAGTGTTTGAGATGCGCAAATTCTACAGTTTTGGTGCTATAGAATTATGTAGTCCCGCTGAGCGAACAAACTTGGTGCGCTAAGCGAATGAGCTTGAGCTGAGCGAGAGGTGAGTGAGCAGAACCCACTGTTTCTGTTTTCGCACAATGAGTTTGGTGCGCTGAGTGACTAGTCCAGAACTTGTTTTGAGTATTTCTTTCTTTATTTTATGATAACTTTAAGCTATGTTTTGACTTTGAGAATGATTTAGAAATATCGATAGTATTCTATGATGGTTATTCTTGAAGTTATGTATGTATTTGATGTATGATTAATGATTACATATGTGGGTATTCAATGTAAAAGTAAAGTGATATATGTACATGGTTTCAAAGGTGTTCTAAATTATGTGTTGTGATTCAAAGTGAAAATATGTGGTTTCAAAGTTATGTAAGTAAGTTTCGAAGTTGAATCTTGGTGAGATTCAAGTATCATTAGTATGAATGCAGGGAGCTAAGTCTTGGGGGTTATCCTGAACTCCAATGGTCTTTCATTCTCTAGTAGAGAGTATTGACACATATACTGAGGAGTAACAAGTTATCCTGAACTCCAATGGTCTTTCATTCTCAAGTAGAGAGTATTGACACATATGGTGAGGAGTAGCAAGAGGTTTTAGTCTTGGGGGCTTCCAGTATGCTCCAAGGCCCGAAACAGACTAACCTTTTGAGTGTGGTAGGGTGAAACCCGTTGGCAATGACTTTGCAAAGCAGTAGAGGCCACCACAAGTGCACGACCCACCATAGCTCGACATTTATACTAAATCCGGATAATCAGTCTAGGTATTTGCATGTTAAGATGTTTGGGTTGATGTATGTGATATAAATGATTCATGTATGCTATGTTATAAATGTGATATGATTTCTTTGTTATCTAACTTACTCTTGCTTATGTGTTGTATGTTGTGTGTTGTTTCTCTTTGTGATGATCACCTGAATGGTGTAAGCTTAGTGATACAATCTTTCCAGTTGTTCCAGTAGGAGGTGAGGATGAAAAAGTTGAGAAGTCAGCTGATTCTACATTTTTAGGTTGTTTTTTTTTAAAATAGTGGTTCCATTATCTTATATGTAATATTTCATTTTAGTAGTATTTTACTATTAAAAATGGATATTACATATTCCAGAATATATTTTTTTTAAATGAGTATTTGGAGAGACATTTCTAAATCTAGAAATACTTTTTTGGAATAATCTTAAAAAAAATGTCTTTAGAATTTCATATTAGGTGTTCTAAAATATAAAAGAAAATATATGTTAGAATGGGAGTTTTGGAATATATTTTTGAATTCTGAAAATGACTTTCAAAATTTAATTTTACATATAAAAATATATTTCAAAACATTTGAAATATATAAAATATAAATCTTTCTTGAAATAGCAATCTGAAATGCTTGTACGCACATATTTACATTCCTGTTATTACATGGTTTATGTGCTAGAGATGGGAGAGGTGTGACACTCAAGGAAGAATAAAAGTAAGAATAGTTAAAGTTTTTCATAGTATTTAATTGAGGGGTACGATGAAGATTAAAAATTTTTATGGGGGTACAGGAAGAAATAAAAGGGGTGCAAGAACTAGTAGCTTAATTCTAACCTAATTCCAGCCCAACTTTCAAGTTCAATCAAACTTTTTCAGGGAGTTACTTCCTCTACCACCACACAGTACTACTTGTACCTCTTTATTCCTTTTTTACCCTTCAATAAACGGATGTCTCGTTGATCGACAAACAGATGTCAACATTCGTTCGACAAATCGATGCCAACGAATGTCACCTTTCACAGTGTTCCCATGGCCCAACTCTCCCTTGACAGCCCTTCCCTCCCCCCTTACCTCATCTCCCTCAAACTCTCCTGCCACAGCACCCAAAACGTTCCCCTTACACTCCAAAGCCTCATGGACTTCTTAAACTTCAGCAATCCCAAAACTCTCACTAAAAATCTCACCACAAACATCCCCACTTTCTTCTACTACACATCCGCAACCTCCAACCTCGTTGTGCTTTTTCATTTCTCCACCACTCTCCCAAAACAAATCAAAGATCAACAATTTCTACTTTACTTGTCAGGTTTACCTACAATATCCACGGATATCTTTCCAAATGAAACTCTCGACCCTTTGAGCCACATTAACCAGATTTTCGGTCGGATAGCGAAAGCCATGAAGCCGTAAATTAGCATTTCCTCCTTCCATTGGCTATAATTGCAAGCTTTTTAAGCATAGGGTTTATTCCCTTTTCCTTGTTTGGGGTTTTCTTGGGAAAAAAGGTAAAGAAGTAATTAGGTATAATATAATTAAAGCAAAAAAGAAGACAAGAAATGAGAAGAGTGAAACAAAAATGGGAGATGAGAGGAAGTGAAACGAGAATGGGACAAGAAAATAGAATTCGTGAGAGATGGGTGGGGTGTAGCTACCCAGCAAAAATAAATGAGTAAAAGTAGAAAGGATAAAATTGAAAGTAAAAGAATTTAGGGAAATGGAGGAAGTATGGTGTGGTGGTAGAGGAAGCAACACCCACTTTTTCAATTTATGCGTGGTTCTTTCATATGAATTTTTCTTAAATTAAATTTTTGAATTGAATTACTTTTTTTAATTTATAAAAAATATTAACAGTAAAAATTATTACAAATATTAATGGGACTACCACAATAACTATTTCAATCTTCAATATAACTTTGAGTGATCATAGTCACAGTTATTATCAAGCAAAAAAGTCTACCACCTGAATAAGCATTTTCCCACATCACCATATTCAATAATTAGAAGTTATAGAGATATTTTATAATAAAGATGTTGGTCAATTGTGAGGTGTATATATTTGTGTAATATATTTTTTAAATTGTGACTAAATTAGAGAACAAGACCATATCTTTTTTGAAGGCACCGCAAATTAATGAGAACATGCTGAAAAATAAATTTGTAAGGTTGATTCTTTTGCAGACATAATGTTTAATGTTGATATTTCAACCACTTTATAATATATATATATATATATATATATATATATATATATATATATATATATATATAAAGAGGAACCACATAAATTTATTATTCTTAAATAAAATTATAAATATACTCTCAATTATTATTTTACAACATGAACCGACATAAACAGTGGTGAATACATAATTTTCAATAGTCAAAGGCTTCACGTGACTATACACAAAAAAGTTCACACCCATTTTGAATTCTTTATGAACAAAGAACCAAAGAATCATAATTTATAGCTAAAACCAAATCCTGACAAAAACCAACTTATCGTTTTCAACGTAAAAACAATTGTCACTGAAAAGAAAATTACTCTGAAGAGAGAGTGGGAAACCTCTCAGAAGAACCAAACAAGAACATCATTCCAAAGAATATAAATTAATTATATTTCCTCTCACCAAACTCAGAATGTACTTACATGTTGTTATTCAAATCCTATAAATATAAGTATAATGACAAACTAATTCACTGAACAATTTGTCACATAAAGTGAAAATTACAGTAGAACTGAACCTTCAGAAACAAAATTTAGAGGGTGGTTTACAATGAGAAATTACACCACCCACAATATTCTTCTATATTTTCCCATGTTCTAACTAACTTCTATACTTCATATGAACAAGTTCATTTAGTTTAAACTTTCAAGAAAAGTGTCTTTTTTTTTTCTTTTTTCACACAACAAGTGAACTTGTGAAGAACCTTTACAAATCTAGAAAAACTTGTTCTATATGGTATGTTCCGTTCTCTCTATACTTTTGTGTAAAGGGTAAGAATATATATTGCATGTGGTCCTGCTTTCAGCAAAACTCACTCAATATAAGTGATTTGTAGGGTAGTTTTTTTTACCTATGTTCTGTTCTTGAGATGCTGATTCTGATACTGTCTCAAAAGAAGCTCAGCATAAAGGATCTCATTCCATGCATCAGGAACACCAGGGAGGCACCAGTGACTGCAGTCTTGGAAACTCAATGGTGATTTTCTCTCCTCTGCTGATAGGTTTTGCTTCCTATAAATAGAGGGATGACCGTCCTTCCTGAAATCTGTCATTTTAGTGACATTTAGATAGGTCACTTTGGTTTTCATATACTTCAAAACCTTTTCCAATACCCTCATCTTAGGAGGGTATTCCTTCAAGTACTTGTCATTCTTGATTGGCACAGTTTCACTGTCACATTGTCCACCAGAATTCCATTGCCCCCCACTGTACAATTACAAACAAATGTTTGTGTCAATCTTCTTCTTCTTTAGTACAATGATGTGCTTAAAGGAAATACTATGTCAAAGTGAATGAACTAAAATCATGTTATTCATCATGACGTTGGATCATCCTATGTGAATCCAAACACACTACGTTGTACCTGAAATGTGAAGCAGAATAGCCTCTGAAGAATATCATAGACTTGGATGAATCTATGCTGGCATCAATCCATCTACTCCAAGTGGTTATTGCCCTTCGAAATGCCTCCAGAACATTCAGTTCATTGTAGACATGGCTTCCCTCTTGGTAATAGTCCTTCCTAGAATTTTTCTTGGAAGAGTTAGTTAATTAACGAGGTTTTTTGACTTGTGATCTTAGAAAACAGACTTAGAATGAAAAGCCATAACTGCAATCAAATCTAAAAGAAATTGTAATTTGTTTACCCTTTGGAAGTTTTGTCATGAGTCCACCAGTGACCAGTGTTGAAGATGATTATATCTGCATTTTTATATTGAACTGAAGATTTACCAACTAAATCCAGACGAAGTGTTTCCTTCTTTGTTCCATTCTTTACTTGAACTTGCCATTCTTGAACTAAGAATGGGGACACAAAAAGCTCTGCTGAGAAGTTATAATCCTAGCAAGCAATTGGTATAAGAATTATGCAAACACCATTAGAAGAAAAATTGAAAACATAGAAGGACTTGGTATTTACTTTGAATATGAATGAATAAGAAGCTTCCCCTTTGAAACGGACTCTTCCGTTTGCTTCATAGACTTTGCTTTTGTCTTTCACAGAGTTTCTCAGGATGCAAATGAGAGATTCCCACATATTCCTATTGAGGGAATCACCAACAAAAATAAGCCTCTTGCCTCTCAACATTTCCAGCATTCTATGTCCGTCCAACCTATTAGCAATTACAACAACAGATTGCATAGCAAATCAGCAAACTGGGATCCAAAATACCAAAGAAACATTCCCAAAGCAACTTTGAACATCACCAATGCAAAATGAATCTTACAAGAAACAAAATATTGTCCAATTTGGAAAAAAACACAAACACTATCAAATGGAAAACCTTAGAAATTAAAGGACCAAACTTAAATGCAACTCCTTGATGATTTCTGGTGTTGTTCTCTGACCAAAATTGGAATTTTGCTTTGTAAGTACATAAAAAAGGATTCAGCTAAAGATCAGCATACCTTTTATTGAAATGAAACTTCAATTTTATCCAAAACTAATCATAAAACATAAGTGCAAATTCTAGGTGTTTTTGACGTTCATGTCGAATGATTGAAGTTTTAATCCTAAAAAGCGAGTGATGTGAGACACTGAGTATTCATAATGGAGGTACACACAAGTTTTGTCAAAACATTAAGAACCGACAGGTTCCAAAACAACAGAAATTCACCGTGTTCTCTTACCTTGGGAGGCTGCATCCCTTTGGCTTCCATTTATATTTCTGATAGTCTTTATCAGGTCTTCCATTTTGGATACAACTAAACTGTTCATCGATCAGATTGCAAGACCCCGGTGCATAGAGAGGATAAGAATCATCTTTAATCCATTCCCCATCAAAAAAATCACACTTGATCAAAGCCTCAATCTTTTCATCCTCCACCCCAGAATCCATTTCCTTGTTCCCATTCTTCTTTTTCTTCACCAGGGAAGCCGTGTAATTACTATGCACAACTCCCTCTCCTTTCACGGGAGAACTCAAATTCTCACGGGGACTTCCCCCTGAAACCTTGGGCGCAGAAGCAACACCATTCGAAGAATGATTTGACTTGTTTAAAGCTTTATCCTCATAAGAAGTTCCAGAAACTCGGGTATGATTGGAAGCACTTGATGGCTCTTTATTCACAACACGATCACGCGG